GTATCTTTTAGGCTATTACTCCGAAGTAATGTCAACAGATTCTTCTGCTATGTACCCAATGTATGTGCCACCGTATGCAATGACAAGCACACCTCCGCTATCAATGCGGGATCCACGACGGTTTCAAGTAACATTTTTTGAGGATATCGCAAACATTTACTGCCTTTGAGGTTAATGTTTTTAGGGCATTCCTGGTTTACAAGCTCCTCCTCCATATCCACCACCACCTAGTTATAGTCAAATCCAGAACTTCCCGGAGTTACCAACAGTCAGCAATGCTCGATTGGATAGTCGAACACCTTCAAGAGGCGGGAAAAAATCTGAAATCACGCCGGTGGAGTAACTCGATGTTACTAGTGTTATTTAGCTCACATCATGCATGATGTAAAAGAGCGCATCTTTATCCGGTTATGCGACTATTTTTAGTTAATCCGTGATTTTATGATAACATCCGCTCAAACATAGACATTTCCTGACTTCCAGGAAGGGTAGAGGAGGGGATTACCTCAAACAAGAGAGATGCTATGAATCGAGTTGTATCGCGACATAAATACGGGTTTTAAGATTACCTTGCTTATGAAGAAGATCGAACTAAGCACTGAGCTAATCAGGAATTATGTGCACATCTTTTTGTTTAAATAAGTCTTTCTAAAACCTTTGTTCAATTTTGACTTCTTTTTTTATAACTTTTCGGATTGAAGTCTGTTTCGAAAAATTTTCAATTTAGTTACTCATATTGTTTACACCGATCGCCCGCTTCTATAGCTACTATCCTCTACATTTATGCTCTGTGCCAAATTGCATGCTGTCTACTTCACAAGTTTTTCATAATTGTCGCCAAATAGTTGTACTTTAAGATACTTCAAATTACGGGTTTATCAATAAAGAAGTTTTAAAATTCTCATGAGATCCTTGTATATGAAGCGGTGAGTGAGCACACAATTTGTACCTAATATACGAAGTTACAGAATGCGTCAAACTCCCGACATTCAAATTTCATTAAGAGCACTTTTCTTGACAAAGTGAACTGCTTTTAATAAAAGTACTGATGAAGTCAGTAGAGCAATGCAATATCTTATCATGAGAGCTAGCAGTCAAAGAAGTCTCATTACTGTGCTTCATTCTCTTAGATCAGTCCGCATTAGGATCACAATGGCAACACTTTGGTGAGTCATTTACATCTAGAATAAATAAGTTAGAGCCAGTACAACAATTTGCCCTGTGCCATTAGGAAGGAATCGTGATTTGGCAACGTCATCAAAAATTGGAATGCGTAAACGCAACTGCAAGTTGCGAACT